TATGGAGCCCATTTCTAAACACTGACCAGACGTTAAACCCTCTGTTATCTTAGAACAAGTTATCTTTTGTTTTATTCCAATGTACAAAGGGTTTGTTCTACAGTTATGATGGTAGTTATAAGTAGTCCAGTGTGTTTCACTTCATTTGAGGTAAGACTTAATATCAACGACTCTGTTAGCATAGCATTTGACCTGCAATAACACTAAATTACATCTTTATAATTGTTGCTACTAGTTTCACTTTACTTGAGGTAAAAGTTTATATTAATGACACTGTAATAACACTTAATGACATATTCATAACTGGTGCTACTTGTTCCACTTTAGTTGATGTAAAAGAAATTGTTAATGAGTCTGTTATTAAATCATTTGACAGTGTAATAAAGCTTAATGAAATCTTTATTGCTTGTCATACTTGTTTTGCTTTATTTCAGGGAGTGGAAATATTAATCATTGTTTTGTTAATTTTTTTGCTAATGTAATAATTAAATCATTATGACTAGTATTATGACAAATTTATGTCAGATCATGATTTCTTGGTTAATGACAAGTTGTCATAACGAAGACAATTTTGTCTAGATTAATGTCAAGTTGTCATAACAAAGACATTTTCAATAATGTCAACTTTGTACTAAAAGTGTCATGATTTACCAAATGACACTTTATGACAGTCATAAATATTCATGAAGACTTATTGATGTTCGTAACAGGTGTTATGTCATGTTTATGACAGTGTCATGAAAGTCTTATTCACCCCCCTTCAAATAAAGTGTTACCAAGACGGTTGTCTATGTAGTAATTATCCAATAGGAGGCTTATACTATAACTCAGTTAAATTCAGGTGGCAACTGTTTTTTTGGTCAGGCAGGATATATTAAATGTATAAAGGTGGCATAAATCTTGGCTGGCGCCTGCTAGGCAGCCAATCTAGGAGCGCCATTTATGTAACTAAGAGTAAATCCAAGAGTGGAGCAAAATAACACTTTAGATATTAATTCTGCAGTATTACCCATATGATTTCTATGATATAAAATAATGCCTGTCAAGATTTATTTGATATTTGAGCTATTAATATGAGCTGTTTTAAGTGTTCTTAGAGGTGGTCTGACATGTTCAAAGCTTTTGGCTATTCATGGGCGGCTGTGGTCCCTAACTCCCTCAAACACAGGGGATCCACTGTAATAACATTTTGGAGGACACAAGTATATAATGAACAATGTAGTTAATTAGCACAATATTATTGCACTAAACTGATCACAGGCATGTAATTTAATATGAGCTCAGACTCATTAAATAACTGTTAATGACAATTAAGATATATTAAGTGTGAAATCACAAAGAGTTATTTTCAAAACTCTTATCCAAAGCAGATCTTTCCCTCTATGCTTCAATAATGTTATCAAATATTAAATTAATGTGAAAACTTAAGTAGATCAGAGTGCTTTTAAGTGAAGGGAAATGATTGCGTGTGAAAATAAGAGAGGGAGTGCATATTGGAAGTGGTAGTACAAACAAAAATTCCGAATAGCCTGGCTTTCTCCCTTCAAATAAAAGACGAGTGAGTGGAAGAAGGATGAATAGGAGAAAGCAAAGCAAGAGAGGAGGCCGTGTGCTGCTCTGGCATGCAGTCTGTGAATTACCACAGCAGATGGTGTGTGTGCGTGTGTATGTGTGTGTATCTGAAACACAAAAGCCCAGGAAGTGGCGGGTGAGTGGCATGCTGAGGCTCGAGCCACAAGACCTCTTGTCAATCAAGGCCCTTTACTGCCTGTCTCACTGAGCAGCTGGACACACTGTCTGCTGCCGTCAGTCACAGACCTCAGTACCTGTCTCACTGCGGTTGGCTTCTAACAAGCTGCTTTTACACTTCTTTACCGATCCCATAAGTTTCTTTTGTCCCAAAATGAATTCATGTGGTGAGCTATACCCATCTGGCTCAGCTTGTATCACTCTTTACTACCAAGGAATTAATTAAATCAGTCCCATGTATTTCAGTAGTAACCCAATCAACTTGATGTGAATTATTTTCCTCTCATATTGAGCTCATACAAGAGTGGAAATATGATACACCCCAGTTCCACCCTCATGTCTGGACTACACCTCAACTGGAAGAAACAGTAGCTAAACAAAAATAATCCATAATCCAGACACATTTCTCAGTCTCACATTGGACGATTTTAAAATATTTTTTTGCATAGAACAAGTATTTCAATTCTTTCTCAGAATTGAAATACTCAATCATTACCTGGATTAATTAAACCTGTTTTGAACTCATTACCTGTATAAAAGACACCTGTTACTAAGGTAACCATAACACACTACTCCATCGTGGGTTAAAATCCTACAATGTATTAAAGGTCCCCAGTTCGTGTCCAGCCCCATCTGAATTAAGATGACCATCTGGACTGTCCAGAGGAGGCCTGGAAAGGTCATGAGGTCATATGAGACCAAAACAGAACTCCATTCCAGTGAGTGGAATGAAGTCCACTCACTGGAATGGACTTCAGTCATGCTTAGGGGCTGACTGTCTGTAAAGCAGGAAGGATGACTGCAGTGTACTGAGGAGAGCCTGGGCGGTTCATCTGTTCAGAAACAGAACATTTAGAGGGAACTGGCAACAGGCCATGAAACCTGAGCAATCTGAAGATCAGTATGGAGGAGTGGACCAGGACCACAGGAGACATCTGACCTCTGACCTGGAAACAAAGGGTTCTGGAGCAAATACTAAGCTTTGCTTTCCTATCAAATACTTATTTCATGCCATAAAATCTTAATGAACTACTATAAATTATAGTAAAGTGATTTTTTTAAAAAATTGTTATTATTTTGGATTTTCTCTGGTACTGTTGAGGTATACCTTGGATGATAATCATAGACTTCTCCATTCTTTGGAAGTGGAGTAACTTGAAAAATCAACATTGTGTCATACATTTAAAAAGAATACAAGTTTAATCTATTTCTTAGTATTGTCATTTGTTCTCATTCTGAGATAAGAACACATCATCATCCACAGACAGGGAAGAATCACAAAGAAGCTCCTGGTGGTTTATAATGGTATGCTCTGTCATTTGGAGTCATCTTGGCTATTATTTAAGATGATAAGAGCATTTTGTGGGGTTTTTGCATAGAAATTTACTTTGTAATATTTATGTTTAAGAACCTTATTTGTTTAATTGATAATTTCTACAAGGATTGCTCTTAAACTCTGTCCTTTATGACTATAGATTTAGAAGAAATGGCCTTTAGCAGGAATGATTATTGAGGCTTATTAAGTGTTCTGAGAATTATTCATTGTATTGAAAGTTGTCTTTTTTTTCACAAAAAGAAACCTGTGACATAGAAACAAAGAGAAAAGTTTGTAGCTTATTATACTTAACCATTTGACCCTCTATGAATACTTACAGTGTCATGATGTGTAGTTTTAAACTGGACCCAGATGCAGAGAGGCAGAGGCAGGTTGTAGATGAAGAATGTTTAACACCCAGAACTGATGAAAAATTAGAAAAATCACAGGAGAGACAGGGAACCAGAGCAGAACATAAAACAGATCCAGGAGCAATACACAGAAGGGAAACAGCAGGGAGACAACAGGATTAGATTGGAGAAACCAGCAAAGAGGAACTGAGAATGAATTTTATATATACTGGGGAGGTTGATTACTGAAGAAGGAACAGATGGCTGATTAGAAATGGGTTCCAGGTGTGAAGGGAGGCTGAGGAGAGAGAGAGAGACAGAAAGAAAGAAAATGGCACAGGGGTGAAGGAGAGTACACGGGGGGACTTGGAAATAAATCTAAAATGAACAAATAACTAGACCTAAGAAACATAATTAAACTAGAGTAACAAAGAATAACTAGACATCAGAAATAAACATATTGAACTAGAATCACGAAGGAAGTACTGAACCAAAATAAAACAACAAAACTGATCTAACCAAGGAACACAAAATGATTATACTAGAATGAAATAATCAAAACATCCCAAGATCCCTACAGACAGGTGATGCAGTGATCACTGAGGTACAAAAAAAAAAAGTAAGCAACACATTTTTCTTCTTTTTTTTTTTTTACTTTACAGTCACACAAAGGTAAAAGTGGACAATCCAGTATGAAGAAATCTGCCTGACAGTTGAAAAAGGAAGTGTAGTCTTGCTGGATGGTAGTTGGAAGAACAAATAGCTTGAGGTTTCTTGGCTCACCTCAGAGGGATGTGGTGAGAGCTGAAGGGGCTCAGGAGGAAGGACAGCTTCACTGAAGCCAAAGGAGGCAACCACAATGTACTTATCTTGTACGTCTAACACAGTTTCGTGTAAGTGACTGCAGCTACAATAATGGATATTGCATGTTTATAATCCAATAACACCGATTTAAAAAATTCTCTGACCAGTCAAATGGAAATAAGGTCCTTTAGTTTAACTTTGGCTTAAATGATTCTTTGCTAAATGATTGGAAAGTAGCTGAACTGATTAGTTTATACTGTTTACTAATAGAGTGAATAAAGCAAAAGCTGCTTTATAACTGATAGCACAGTGACTATGTGGTTTAGGGTGAGTGGCTAACAATATTCCAATATGGACTATTCTGTTCAGATATAGTTCTTCTACATTAGATATGGTTCTGACATTAGAAGAATTGTCAGATGTAAAATTCTGACTTTATAATGCATATAATATATCTGGTTGGATGGCCTTGTTTGATGGCTTTTTACTTTATCATCACTACCTAATATTTAATTGTTCATGGTATCATTGGGAGGTTAGGAAAATGGCATTTATTTTCAGGATGACTTTGGCGTTGCAAAGCTACAGCTGGTTCACCACAACAAAGCCTGAAATGAATGCATGACCACTGATGACAGCAGGAAAACAGTTTTCCTGCAACAGTAATTCATTCCCCTGCCATTAGTACACTGAGCAGTATGTACACAAGCATGATTGACAGCTCCAAGACTTTCCTCCAGGCTCTGATTGATTGTTTCTGGACAGGGAGTGGTGTACTTCTGTGGAGGGCAGTGGGACACAGGTTTTTTCAAGAAATTAATAACATGGATGTTTATTTTATTATTATTTCTGGCTCACTTTTCTATACAGCATTGATTTTTATGTTTTTAGCGTTTTTTTGCAGCACTCTCTACAGGTACCACATAAAATGCCTCACAAACTGAAAATGAAAAGAAATTTGAAAAAAAGCACACCAGAGATGGTGAGCTAGACCATCTGCAGGTTTGGTCATGAAAAAAAGTTGTTTGTGTTTTCCCACTGACCTACCGCATGCAAAACTCCTCCATCTTGATGTAAATAATCATAATTTGAAGTTTAACTGGTGCTTGATTATAGTGGGACAACTTTAGTTTTTACATCTTGATCTAAATAAACAGGGAATAAATTTCCCAGCATCAACACATCCATTTACTAATATAATTGAAATGTCTACACTCATCCATGTTTCGTGTTTTCTGTTCCTTGAAGTCTCTGCTCAACTGTCCCTCCTGCTTCTTCACAATGCCTGCAATTGCTTCTTCCACTCACATGTTTGTACTGGTGGCCCCCTCGTGGGCTCTGTTAGACACTCCTTACATTGTCAGCTTTTGGTTGATCAGCTATGAAAGCTAATCTGAATTCTGCTGTGAATCAAATATTTGAAATGTGATGTCACTGTAAATTTTTAGTTTAACTGGGTGTGTATGACAGCTGAGAATTTTTAAGTACTAAATAATTTGATTTGCTAAACGATTCAGGAGAGTTAAGTGTGATTATAAATGTATTAATTCTGGGGAAAAAAGCTTTTGGATGAATAATTGTTTTTCTATTTTACACATAAACAATGAGTCTAAGACCTACGACCTCATTTGTAACTAAGACTACGTTCACACTGCAGCCTGAAGAGACACACTTCAGATTTTTTTTTTGCCTTAGTGCGACCTGTATCTGATCTGTTCATGACAGGCTGGACAACACAGATCGGATTTTTTCGAATGCAATCCAGGCCACTTGGATATGTGTTCCTAAATCCTATATATCTGATCTTTTCAAATGTGACCTGAGTCTGTACAGCCAGGTCGCTTTAATCTGATCTGAATGTCATTGATTCTAGACAAAAGTCTCTATTCTGCATTCTGATACACACAAGTAGGAAGAAAAACAACAATCATGGCAGACTATAATGAGGATTAAGTGTTAATGAGCTGGCTCTGGTCAGACAACTTTAAAATCATAAAATACACTCCCCATTAGCATCCAGGTTTACTTCCTCAAACACTGATGCATATAATGCTGAAAATGATAAAATATTATAAGTCATATAACTGAAACAGATACAGAGACAAGTAACAATTCCATACTTAATAAAATAAACCAACTGAATGCCATTTTTTGTTCTTAAGAGCTCTGTGGTTTTACAGTAGTTAAATGACACTTGACATGTAGCTATGGCTACACTGACTAATCAGCATTAATCTGACTAGTGTCTTGACTTCATATTTTATTCACAGAGATTTTGCAGAACTCCTTCAGTTTGCTGCTCCTACCTTGGTTAACATTTTTTATTATTTCATAAATTGCATAACCCAGAACCTTTATGCCCACTTTGCCTATCACATTTTCATATCTTTGCATATTTCCATGTTATTTGCATATTTGTGTGATGGTGCAAATTTTCAGGGGAAAGCCACTGGTTGTTACTCATCACACAACCAGTGTGCAACAGCAGCAGCTGGACAAGTGCCCAGAAGCATAAGGAGAGACGGTGCTCCAGAGACGACTTCCACCAAGCAGCTGGACTAAAACGAACAGCTGAAGTCACGCTTTGGAAAACTCCTTACTCCTCTTTGTTGTACGACGACATTAGGTAGCTGTTATATCTGATCTGTAGGTAGAAACCACAGAGAAAACACTGACTGTATGCTGACATTATGTGTATATATATATATATATATATATATATATATATATATATATATATAT